AACAGTACATCAAACTGACAGATTGTAATGTTGCTAGGTTATTTGTATCTATGGTAACGGTATTTTAATGACGTGAATGAGGGTAAATATGCATCTTTGTTTTTTTTACCTGGTTACTAGGTTATCTATATCTATGGCAACGTTATGCTGGGTATTAATCTTCGAAAGAGCGACAATGGGATCCCTCCTTGGGGAGAGGCTCTTGGATGGGGATTGGCTGCTGTAGCTTGGGTTCAGATCCCCGTGTGGATGGTGATCGTTGTGAACAGATTTCCAGGCGAAACCATAAAAACGGTATAGGTTTTACTGCTTTATTAATCACTTCTTACTGCACACTAGAATTATTTAAAGCAACTTCAAATGTCTTGTCGTTTATTTAATTTCTGATTTTAAATCTTCTGTAACAATTTCAGAAGTTCCTCTTGGCTCTTCAGTCTAAGAAAGAATGGGGACCCAAGAACTTGCTTGATAAATTGGCGTGGAAACAATGGCACAAAAACAAGACAGGGTCGGACAATTTAGCGTTTTATTGTAATCCCAAGTTTAGCGATAAAATTGACGACGAAAGAAGCGAGGAAATTGATATGCAAACCTAAAACATCGTATACCAATCAACAAATAGTTGTTTTTTGTGATGTATTTATTAATACTTGCAATAATGTTATCTGTTACTAAGAGCATATTTAACCATGTATTTTAAAACTTATACTACCATCAGAGACCTTTTAGTAAATAAAAAATATCCATAAATTTTACCCTCTGGTAAATAGTTGTGATCTTTGACTTGGTTAATAATTTTATACTGGAAGTTTCTCCATGATACGTATTTCGTTCGAGTGAGACAATGATTCCTTGTTTATTGTTTTTACCTAACTTAGGATGATTATCACGTTCACCCGGTGTCACTTTACTCCAACTTAGGAGTAACAACGAATAATAACGTAGTTAGAATAGCCATCGAAACTTTTGCGTGCTTGCAGCGCTTAAAATTGGGTTTCGATACCTGTTGCGGACACCAGCACAGATAGCCCATTGTGTAGCTTTATGCTTAACGATCAAACAAAAGTCACCGAAAAACTTAAAAAATTAATACTCCTCGTTTTGATATTTAATTTTAAGATTGATGGAAATATCCAGTTGATAACGGATATCAAAGCTTTGATATGTCTTTTGGATATTTTCACTCTTGTGATTCAGAAATTAATATAACCAAACTGCTATTAACATTTGCTGGAAAGTAACCCGCGTTCGTAATGCTCACAAGTCTTATAGTTACAATCATCGTTACCCCCACGTGGAAGTTTCATATTGTTTAAAAACCGACCAATAGATGTGAGCGGATGCTTTAATTGAAAATTTTGAGATGCCCTCTAGTGGTTATATATATAAGTATATGAGGTGTCAAAACGTGAAATTTATAGAACGTTATTTAAGATGGTTGAACCTAACTGTAATAATATTTAAACTATTTCATTTACTTAAAAATGGCTACAAATAACACACACGTTAAAATCAAACCAAATATTTGTTTTAAAAAATTCTACACCAAATAATAAAACAAATACTATTATACTTATCATACGACATCAGTATTAGGCCTATTACATTTTTAAACACTACATTATTAATCTAGTCCCTTAGGGAGTTTCAAATATTAGTGTATAATAAAAGTATTCCAACTCACACTCTATTTGTCATATCCGTTTCGCTCAATTCGGAGCTCTTCAGACTGGCTGGGATACAACAAATATTTGGATTGAGCGAAACAGCCTTCTAATAGGCCTAACACTAACGTCTTATGACAAACATAATTGGTTATGCTTTAGCTGCTGTTTAGAAGATTACATTGATCGAATCGGTACATTAAGGCGTTTCGGTTCTTCGGCGAAGCTTCGTTACAAACTGAAACGTCCTGGTGTTGAATTAATTTTCATTCTTCAGATAGATGCTGACGTTTTTCAGGCTTTTAGAGAAATACTCTGGTTCGTTCGTCAAATATAAATATGAGTAAAATTAAGACTGGAGAATTTATTACATTTTTTTTTCCTTTTGGTAAGCCCTCAATGGCTCGGCGATAAGTCTAAAGTCTTAAGACGCTAAAAATCTGGTTTTGATACCTGTGGTAGGTAGAGCAAATATAGCCCTTGGCTTAGCTTTGCGCCTCACAACAACCAATCCAAATCAGTTTGTGAGACAGTAACTATACGCGTTTCAGCATCGACATCTATCGGAATTTAAAGTAAATATTGCTGTTAATTAATGTAACAAACAAATACATTATTTTACAGCTTATAAAACATGACAAGCCTCTAAATATCATAGTTGTCCACTACGAGAAGACTTCAAGACATTTTCGTGATAATTAAAATTAAGAATAAAAATAGCAGTATCTTAAATTAAATGAAAATGTATATTTATTTATTTAAATAAACAACAAATTATGTGATACGTTAAATTAACAAGAATTTTCATAAATAAATAATAAGTTTTTCAATTATTTATACAAACTGTTTACTGTATCATACTCTAATTAAGAGAGCAAACAATTCCGTGGTGTTTCAAACAAACAAACAACATATGTTTGTGTAACTTTAAATAAATAATATATTCAATAATTATCTAAATAAATAGTAAATTACATGATATTTTACATAAACAATAAATTCCTATTTATTTATTAATTACACTTGGAATGAAAATTCTTCAATCGCATCACTGTCTGCGTCTTGGTGTAATCAAAGAGTGGTTGAAATTAGATTAATTCTTGTATATGAAAATATATCATATATATATATATATATACGTGTCGTTGTCACACAACATGTACAGAAGTATAAAACACAATACAAGTTGAAATACTATTTTAATAGCAGAAGTTCGAGAAAAACTTGGTTACAGCCAGAACTTAAGTTACGAAATAAAAAATTGTGTTGTTGTTTTTTAATTTAGTTTAGAGACCAATTATGAAGATAACTTCCACGGACAGTCAATCAAGTTTTATGCTAGGTTATAAACTGTTTTCATTGACGGAGTCTATCATCCAAAATATGATGACTTTTAAACAAATGCTACAAAGTAACGAGCTCATGACGTTAAATATTTATCTCCCTGACCGAAGAGATTCGAGGGGTAGGGGTGGATAAAGTGATGACGAGCCAAGTCCGTCAGACTGTAGACATTTACTTTCCTCACAATAACTTAGTTCTAAAGAACAAATGTCAAACTTAGCAGGACATTTCCATAAGGGAAGAACCCTATCTATATTTAGGGTTAATATAAGTTTAACATAACAGCAAATGTACAACGTTTCGACAAGGTTTTGTCATCATCAGGTACAAGTAGTTTATACTGACACAGATATATACATATATACAGTAT